CATCTCCTTCCAGAAGACCTACCATGAAAGATGTCCTGCAAGTTCTGCTAAAATACGAACGCCAATCAACATATGCAGGCAAGATAAATGGAAGCGAGCGTGATGCTTCGCCGCTCCTTAAACATTCATCAGGGAGTGAGAGGAGCTCAGAGAGTGAAGATGATGATGAATTTAAGTCCATAGTGTGAAGGAGTCCAGATTGTTAGTTTAAGATGAATATATAGCTAGCTAGCTAGGAATATACTGTATCTCTCTCTCCCTTGTATATAACAACAATTTTGTATCTCTTTCAGTTTCAGTTTCAATATGTTATGAGATTTTTGAATGAAGAGTTTTGAGGGCGCCGGGTTATGCACCGGAAATTGGCTGGCCTTAAGTTATGCACCACAACATGAGAGACAGAAAATTCTATTTTCCTAGCTCCAAAAACTCTGCTCCTACTCCCTTTGAAGCTGTGTTCGCCGAGTTCGTTCGTTTGGGTGTTCAAACGTCGAACCGTTGTGCGTTTTATCTTGGGAAACCTAGGCCACAACGCTCCTAACACTTTTGGGAGGTGACAAATAAGGTTTTAAGGAATGAAAGACACATCGCCTAACTCGTACATTTCTTTCTTCCTTCTCCTTCTTTCTTGTTTTGAATTATGCTTTTAAGCAAAAATTCGTTCTCCCTCTTTTGATATATTCGTTGGATTGGACTTATAATCTGAGGATTATTAGTTTCAATTTTGGTTGATATATATTGGTATATCTTTTCGTAGATATACATGTATATATAACCTTTGGTCCGTTTTATATATATTTGTGTGTATATATATATTTCGGATAAATATTCAATAATATTTTATATACTTGTGTGTGTATATATAAATATTATTTTTGGGATATTAAATCGGTTTTGATTCATTATCACCAACAATATTATCCTTTTCATGCAATGCGCATGAAAAACTAAAATGAAATTGGACCATCAGACTAAAAAACATGTAATTAACACTTTAAACAAGTTAAATTTGTGCAATTGAACAAAAGTGATCTATTCTCCAAGTTAATGGCTGACATGTTGATTAACATTTAAAATTTTGTTTTTATGCTATTTTTAACAACTAGTATTTTACCCGTGCGATGCACGGTATAAAAATAAAAGTATAATTATTATTTCTGAAAAATATATTATAAACACAATTAAAAGATTAGTAAATAAATAATTGCATTAGAAAATATAAATTTGAACATGTAATAAAAAAATATTATTAGAAACTATTAATGTTATTAAATTTTACATATAAAAAAGAAATATGAGCATTTTATTTATTTTTAAAATTTTTTTATTTAATAATTATTTTCATTTGCTATGAAAATTTATGAAATATGTGCAATTAAAATAAAAATTGATATTGATGATTTCGTTCAATATTTGAAGTGGATTATTCATTTCAAAGATTTCAAATTATATTTTATTATATGTTTCTTATCCTTGAACATTATTTTAATATAATTAAGTGTATTATGATAATTTTAATTTGAACAATGAATAATAAATTTGAATAAAATCAAACTATTCTAACATAATACAAATAAATTTAAATTAATTTTTTCAATAAATATATTGTAGATAGAAAATGTAACACAATTCAATTACATTTTTGTTATTAAATTCTAATAACATAAATTAATCTTTCAAAATATAATTCTTAAAAATTATTTTTTTAAAGAAAAAATTAAAACAAAATAAAATATTAATACAAAATATACAAAATACGTGTCTTTAATAAAAATAGCAGCCCAATCCATTCCTATCAGTTCTAATATATAACCCAATACACAACCCAAAACCCAAACCCAATATTGGAACCTAGACCCGGCCCAAGATCCGACCATATAAATACTAAACCTAATCTCTTCGCCCCCACCCCATCTGCCCTCTCTCTATTATTCTAGAAACCATAACTCCTCGAAGGAAATTCCAGATTCATCCTCAGATGTTAACCCTCGCATGCTTTCTCTTTCCGTCTATGAACCTCTCACCGTCTGTGTCTCTCAGTTTCGAAATGTGTCTCTTAGTTTCGAAACCTCTGTTACTCCATCTCGACGTCGTCTTCGGCTCGCCGCCCTTAAGCCTCCCTCCTTCATTATGCGACTATATCTGGAAACATGAACAAATGCAGGGAAACAAATCGAATCTAAACAAATAGGTAAATCTGAAATTCTTTATGTTCAATTTTTTTGTTTTTCTTTTCGAACACGCAAATCCTTCAAGTCCTTTGAGAGAAAATTTTCGATCTAAAGCCGTGTATACTGTGCATGTTATATTTTTTATTTTTCCGGTTTGATAATTTTTTTTTTTCAATAAAATTTTTTTTCCCATTTTTTCCCAAATTTTTCCGATTTTTTTTTCGAATTTTTTATAATTCCTTTTGGTTCAATCTTTTAATGTTATTAATTTATAGTTGATTTATTTTATTTTCTACTAAAATTTTTTGTTTTTTTTTTTAACATGCAAATTTCAGTCTTCATCAGAAAAATTATTAAAACGGAAAAAATCTTGTCGAATATATGTTCATTTTACAACTGTATGTTATTTTTTTTCTGTTTGATAAATACATGTCGATGAGATATATGTATTCAAAGTACAGTGAACCAATTTTCCATTGATTAGAATATGTACACGAATTTATATATACCCCACAATATTGTTATGTACACATTACATAACAACACACCAAAATCTATCTATACACATTATTAAAATAATAAGTTTCTATAGTATTTAATACAGAAGAAAAATAATACAATATAATACTCTGTAACTAAACAAAAGATATTCAAGATATAATATAAGTCACTATATCTGGAATATATCATCAGTTTTTCTACTATTATGATCATACTTTACCCTGATGATTTCAGGTATCAATGGCATTGAGAAACAGGTTACTGTATGCTGTTCAAATCCCATAAAAATGTTTTAAAGCAGGTTGCTTGGTATGCGTTGAAACCCCTGAAAAATGGTTTCCTACAGTTTGCAATGCATGTGTCAAAAGGAGGGTAAAGCCTATACAAAATGGAGGAAGCCTATACAATTAATTCAATTCTTCATGAGACAGAGCATGGTTTAAAAGGAAAATATCACCTTTGTTTTTTGAACAGCTTCATTGAGATAGAGCAGAGCAGCCCCACTGCAGATGTGGATGTGGGGTTTAACCATGTATGCAATATAGACTATTTATAGGTAGTTTTTTCACCAAAATTTAGTTTCAAAATCAGTACTTCTTGAACACCATGCTTGCTTGCTTCTGTTGTACGCAAGTTTGGAAAACCAATGTATCTGCTGTACTTCTCAACCAATGTATATATTTGTCAGTGAATAGTAATTCAAGGAGTAATTAAATATATTTGTCAGACATGTATTGTCAAATCAAATGTTTACTTTAAAGGGAATAATTTTTAATTAAAAAAATCAGAAAAGGCAAAATACCTCTAAAACTTGAGCGGGAATTTACACAGCCAAATCTGTTTGGCTTTTTTATATATAGGATTTTAAACATAAAAGAATAAATAAATAAATAAATAATCAATCCCTCGCTTTTGTCTCCCACTAATGACCAAGAAGTATATTTGAATAGGTATTCTATGAGACCGTTTCACATGAAACGTGTAATATTTTTTAATTAAAATATAATACTTTTTATATATCAATAAAACATTTATATCTTAAAAATATTACACATCTCACTTTATTTTATCTTTCTAATAAACTTAAGATAGGTATGTAGATGAAATTTTCCGTACGACAAATTAAAGATATTATTTTGTGTAGAGATTATTACTTTTCAATATAATGCCGTAGCCGTGGAACTTAGGTTACGTTGTAATGTTGTGTGAGGAGTTGACTAGTCTTTGTTCAACAAAGGCTGTTTATAACTCATAAGTCCTCCCACAGTTACTCAAATCTAAAGAATAATGTGACCAGTTGACTAGCATTTAATTTCCCTATATTCTAAGTTAGAAACAATGTGAGATATTGATAAAGATGTAATATTAAAAACATTGACATCATTTATTTCTCATCTTATCTTTATATGAGTTTAATTTAAAGTCTATATATATATATATATATATATTTTAATGAAAATATTAATGAAACATAAAAATTAGAATGTTTTTAAAAACTTCAACATTGTATTTTGTTTTAATATTTTAAAATGACTTTGTGCTAATTGGTATTTTACTATTTAACTACTCCGTATTTAATTAGTAATTTGGTGCACTACATTTATTTATTAGTATAATGTTTTTAGTTATAAAATAATTAATATTTAAGCATATTAAGAAAAATCATATATAAATATACCCTTATATTTATTATATTTACACATTTTCCTTAATTACATTTCATTTCCTATATTTTTTAAAATTACAGTCCCCACTCCCTACTTCTTGTTTGTTTTTCTTCTCCCGAAAAGGTTGAATCCCCAACCCCTGACAGAACATTTAAGATGATATAAATTATGGTGATTCTGATCCGGTGGGCATAATCCCCTCCTCACACTGTCGTTGTCATTGAACTAAATTCGTGCGGACAAAATGTTAAAGTGAGTTCCTTGTTTGTTTTTCTATTAACATGTTACATAGTGAGTACTCCGTAATATTTAAAAAGGAATGTAACTAATATAATTACTCCCAAAAGCTAAAATTTCATCACATATTTTATTTTAATGAAATAAAATTAAAGAACAAATGACATTGTAACTCCATTATATTTTTACCCATAAAAATCGAAATTCTTTGTTTGAAGAGTTCCTACATCGGGACCTGACAAGATAATAAAATGGTAAATCATAGTAATAAGATAATGAAAGGGTTAATCATAGTGATGTAATGATCTAACACATACAACTGGGATTGATAAGGCCAATTGAAAAGTAGAATTTAAACTTTTTCTTCATACAGATTCAAGCACTTGAAATACATTTTCTTGAATTCTGCCTCAGATAGATACAAGCAAGCTGCAAAACTCTGATCTCTTCCATGCCACCATTTCAAGAACCAAGCTAAGCTTTTTTCATCCTAAATCAACCTCATAATGTCCAAACTAACCCCATCATCATCAACCCAAATCTACCTCATCATCCTCATCAACCGAGCTCCAAAAGGATCACTCCAAAGCTGTACACATCGATCTTCTCATTCACTTTAGTTGTGTGTGCTGTGTGCATACTCTTAAAATCATAATAAAAGCTGGTTTAGTTTATACCCAATTTAATCATCGACTATAATGATTTTCCCGATTTAATTGGGTCATGAATCTAAAGATTACCTGGAGCAATGTAGCCAAAAGTGCCAGCCAATGTTGAGACTGTGTTAGCTTCTCCAGGCCTGATCAACATTCTTGCCAGACCAAAATCTGCAATTTTAGCATTGAACTCAGAGCCCAAAAGCACATTGCTCGATTTAACATCTCTGTGAACAATCTGTCAGGCGAAATTCCGGCAGATTTTGGTACACATTCGAAGCTGCAAACTTTTGATGTTTCTACAAACAATCTTGTGGGATCATTGCCAGAGGAGCTGTGTGATAACAAGGTGCTTTCTAGCATCATTGCTTTTAACAACCACCTTACAGGTGAGCTTCCAAAGTCTCTTGGGGATTGTCAAACCTTGGCAAGTGTCCTAGTTGAAAAGAACCAACTTTCTGGAACAATTCCTGATGGTTTGTGGGCAGCTAGGAACCTGTCAAGGTTCTTGATTAGTGATAACTTGTTTACTGGTGAGCTTCCACGAAAGATTGCATCGAATATGTCTCTAGTGGATGTTAGTAACAATAGATTTTCAGGTGAAATCCCTGCTGGAGTTTCCTCATGGAATAATCTTGTTAACTTCAAGGCAATAAATAATCTGTTTACCGGTGAAATCCCTCAAGAACTAACGGTCCTGCAAAGGTTATCGGTTCTTTGGTTAGATGGGAATCAGCTTTCTGGGAATTTCCACCCGAGATAGGGCGTTTGAGGCTAACTTCACTCAACCTGTCTTCAAATCACCTCTCGGGGAGAATCCCGGATGCACTTGAAAATGCAGTTTTTGAAAAGATCTTCTTGAATAACCCTGAACTTTGTGCAACCACCCCTTCAATTGACCTCAGTATTTGCAAGCTGAATACCAAGAAATCGAATAGCAATTCAGTCAGAGTTGTAGCTATTCTTGGTAGCATAGCAGCAGCCTTGTTTCTATTAGCCATTCTCTATATACTGTTTGGTTTAAGAATGTGTAGGAAAGGAAAGCAAGGATTAGACCCAAATAGGAAGACCACCTTATTGCCAACTCCTGGAATGGCCAACCAGGCTGCACATTGCCACCGGGGCAGCCCAGGGGCTCTGCTATATGCATCACGGCTCCTCCCCGCCCATCGTTCACAGAGATGTTAAATCGAGCAATGTGCTTTTGGGCTCTGAGTTCAATGCTAAAATTGGAGATTTTGGTCTGGCAAGAATGTTGATCAGGCCTGGAGAAGCTAAAACAGTCTCAACAGTTGCCAAAGTTGATTCTGGAGGACTCCCTTCTAGGATGAGTGGAGTTGTTGGGAGACGATTTGAATGATCTTTTCTTTCTTTTTCATCATTATTTCCTAACCAAACTGTGAATGATTTCTTTAGATGACACAAACCCAGATTAGTCTAACAAATATGTGTAGTAGTACGGTTTACCTATTGGTGAAATATGCATTGGTGATTGATGTGAGGCACCTACTGCTATCTTCATTATGTGTTTTAATGCCTCTGAAGTCTGAACCTTCTCTGCCATTGTAGAACTATATGAATTTTAGCCTTGAGGTATTAGGAATTTAGGACAAGAACTATCTTCATTATTGTTTTAATGCCTCTGGACCTTCCCTGCCATTCTAGAACTATTAATCAACTATACAAGTTTTAGCCTTGAGGTATTAGGAACTTAGGACAATAACTACTATCTTGATTATGTGTTTTAATGCCTCTGAGTCTGAACCTTCCCTGTCATTCTAGAAATATATGACTTTTAGTCTAGGGATTTAGGGCGTTTCAAAACTCGCAAAATGACTTCTAAAAAATGTTTTTTGGATTTTTGGTGTTTGGCAAGAGGGGAACGGGAAAATGAAGTACAGTCAATGAAAAATGATACCTTAGTCAAAGAAAAATAAGTATATTTTGGGAGAAAGTGACTTCTCATTTTTTCAATCTGTCTGCCTTCTTCATGCCTCAGCCCTCCTCATGCTTGCTGTCAACACGGGCTGGCGGGGCGAGGCGGGCCAAGTCGGGCCGGAATTTTACTGGCCTTGCCCGCCCCTGGCCCATAGACTAGTCAGGCCCCGCTACTCTTTAAAATAACTTGTTACATAACAAATATAAGACATAGTTTATCAAACACTAGACAATATTTTAATTATTTTTAGAGTACATAGTTCATCAAACATTAGACATTACATAATACATAAATATAATTATAAAGTCTATAGTCTAAAATTTTAAAACATTAAACTAAGGTTATGATTATTACTTATTAGGTTATAGTTAGATTTTATAAAATTATATATATATATATATATATATATATATATATATATATATATATATATATATATATATATATATATATATATGCAGAGGTATATAGAATAGAATCGAAAAAGTGTCTTTGCCTTCTTGCCGCTTGCTGACTTATTGCATTTTTCTTTCTTTCTAAATTGAATATCCGCCTTCGTGAACTTAAGACAGACTACTGGGAGCGGGATAAAAAGGCTCAAGTTTAGCCCTCCTTCAATATCGGACTAACTGCCATCGACATTTTCTTTTGAAATTCAAATAAGGGCCTCCCTCTCTAAAGGGAAAGAGGTCAGTCAATAGCATCTTCTTAGAATGAATTGTGATGATCCCAACTCATTATATAATCGCACTCATGCGAATGCTTCGCCCAGGAGCGAAATAGGAATGGATTCTGTCCGTCCACGTGTCCAAATCTAATGGATGAGAAACATTGATTTTTTTAAAAAAGCGCGGTGGCATTTTCGTAAATAATTGGACATCGAAGTGCAAGTAAAATGTATTACAAGTGCATGTAGGTGCAAGTAAAAATTTACACTGAGCATCAATACTAAGTGCACCTATAGTTATAAGTAATTGCATCTATAGTTCTAAGTAGTTGCACCTAGGTGTATGAATGTTTGCGGGTGATTTTTAGGGGTATTACTACTCGCTGAACTCAGATCAATAAATGTTAACAAGGCAAAATTACATGCACTTATAGGTGAAAGTAGGTGCACCTATAGTTATAAGTAGTTGTACCTATAGTTATAAATAGTTGCACATATAGTTATAAGCACACCCATGTGCATGAATATTTGCGGGAAGTGAATGCTAACAAGGCAAAACTACATGCACTTATAGGTGAAAGTAGGTGCACTTGTGAGTGATTTTACTTGCACTTCGATGTTCAATTATTTACGAAAATGCCACCACATTTTTTTAAGCTATTAGATCTGGACACGTATCGCGCGCTGATTCGTACGCATATTCCTTCCTAGGCACTTATTCGCACCTGAGTGCATCCTTTATATATATATATATATATATATATATATATAAAGAAAGTGGAACTAACAGAAAATTCAGAAATCTTTTACCTAGATTGTGAAATTTTATGGGAGTATTTGATAACGACTTTTGATACAAATTTTTTCAGATATGAAGTTCGGCAAGTCTAGAACATACACAAAAGTTTTCATATCAATCCAAGACCTAGAAGTAATTTTCTCGAATTTTTGCCTTAAATTGCGTCAAACAGAATTTTTCTTGACAGCACACTACGAAGAACTTAACGGAATTTTCTGTGATTACTAGAACATGTTTTCAACCCAATTTTTTTTTTTTTTTTTTTTTTTTTTTGGATATCAAGTTATATAAGTCTAGGTTATCCAAAAAAAAAAAAAAAAAAAACAAACAAACAAACAAACAAAAAGGAGTCCAAGAAGTATTTTTTCCAAATTTATTTTTTCAACTGGGTCTGACAGAATTTTCTTGGATAGTAAAATATATTTTTTTTATGGCTATTTTTTCAAATCTGACATCTAAAATGGTTTCCTGGCTAGAAATCAGTCTGGCTGACTGGTTTCTACATTTTTTTTTTTTGCAATATTATTGTTGAATTAAAATGTTGAAGTATACAATTCTATTCATTTTCTGAAAATTGAACCAATCACAAAAAGACAGTTTTCTATTGTGCAGCCAAACACCGAAAAGAAAAATATTTTTTAAAAAATTACTCATTTTTTAAAAAATATTTAGAAGTCATTTTACTGCTTTCCAAAGAGAGCCCTAGGATAACTTTTGATGTACCAGTTGCATTTTCCTGTAAAGGCATGGCATGAAAATTAGGGTCTTGTCTAGAAGATTAGGCTAACCTTATCCCAGCAATTTTCTCCACTTTCTAAAATGGGTCCCACTTCCACATCATCAAATTTACAATTCTTCAACTATTTTCTCTACATCCCTACAATACTCTCTCACTTTTAAAAATGAGCCCCACTTTCATTTTATATTATAAATATAATAATAAAATAATATAACAAATAAGAAAAGTACACAAATAAAAAAAATTAAAAAAGAAAAAGTACATAAAGGCTGCCATGCGGCAGCCTTTGTAAGTGTTAGCAAGCTTTCTAAATAAGAAAGCTTGCTAGACACATGGCAAGAGTTCTTAATAAAAAAATATTTTTTTTTTGCCACCTCATCTTGCAAGTGGAATAATTTCAGGGATGGGGTTAGCCTTAGGTATGTGCTTTACAAAAGTCTGCAATTGCTAAACTCATCATCTTACATTCATGTTATCTCATATTATCTCTGAAAGCGCATTAAAAAAAAAAAAAAATCTCTGAAAGCTAATCCAATAATCTAGGATAATCTTACATTTCACGTTTATGAATCAGTAAAAAAGTATTATGGCTCTGTTTGGTAAAATAGTTAGTTTATAGATTAATTTTGATTTATTTAACCACTATTAGCTCTTTGACTTGGTTAAAAAAAATAATTAATATAAGTGTTTAGTTAATTAGTTTTTTGTAAGTACAAAATGCTAAAATTCAAAAAGCTACTCGAAGTAAGTTTTTCAAGAAAAGAAATTATACCAAACAGCTATTAGCTAACAGCTAATTTACCAAACACATTTCTACCAATCATTATTGTGTGGACCATATTTTGTATACTGTAAAATAATGTATATTCAGTATAAAAATAATATACTTTTAGTATATTAAAAATGTACATTGTATTCAGGGGATGTACATTATTTGTGTAAGAAATAGAAATGAAATATGTTTGACTGGGAATGCTATGTCATTCCAGACCTATTCCGTGAACCAAACACCCCATTAGTGAGTAGTGACTATCTATAACATAACAAAGATATTAGAAGCTTTTCCAATAGCATCATCGTAACTGTTAAAAAAAAAAGAATAAATTAGTAAAACAATAAATCAATAATTGAATATATAAATCTTAAAAAATTAAACTCAAAGGAAATTAAAGAATTACAAAATTCTTATAACAATTTTTTTTTTTTTTTGAATAATGTTGACTCTTTGACAAGGTAAAAGTTAATAACACCCCAATTGAGACTTAAACCCACAACCTCTCATGTAAGAGTTTAATTTTGTACTATTAAAGCACAATGTCCTTATAACATTATAAATAACATTATAAATATAATAGCTCGCATATTGTGCTTACTATTTAACATATACCTACAAATTCTTTTCAATTTTACATTTTCATTTGCTCATGATGTATTGATTATCCACATTTATTGTTTACATTATATCGGTTAATTAGGAATTGAGAGTTTTACTCTCTTTATATACACGGGTCTTTTTAGTACAATTTATCTCTTATGGGTAGTTTATAAATTATTACATAAAAGTAAAATTTACTTAGTGTACACTACCAAATAGTGGATATAGATTTTTCTCATCATAAAAGATTAATTTCTCATAACCTAGTGCTGCTCAATTATCTTCCACTCCCATGAATCTCAGAATTTCAATATATGAGTCAAATCCAGTTGCAAAGTAAATGTGGTTTTAGGAAGGATTACAAAATTTTAAAACTTTTTCTCAGATAAAACAATAGTATTTCCAACATTACAACTATATATAAGAAGTGATTGAGAAACTTTAAATTTAGTGAATATAGAATAATCTCAACAGTTAAAACTCATTTTGAATTTTTTGTTAGGTCAAGTAGGATTGGTGGAAAGAAATAGGAGAAAAAAAAAAAAAAGATTGTTCGCAAATGATATGCACCTCTTGGGTGCGCTTCATTATCCATACGGTCAATTTTTATTATTTTTTTAATCTTAAAAAGTGTACAAAAACATCCCCTTGTAGAAAGATATGATATTTTCTATTTCTTTCTATCATGGGGATGCTTTTATATATAATTGTATATTTTACATCCGAGATGGTGAAAGTTTGCTATTTATTTACTAAGTTAATGTAGGCAACTTGTATTGTAAAATTCACATAAAATTTGCCAAAGAAATACGAAAAATAAAAAAGAAAAAAAGAGGTTAGCATATCTTCACGGAGGATCGAACCAAGATTTCTTGAATATAATCATGCATTACAATTTACAACTGATGAGTTGCATGTTGTTTTATCAACGCTGTAATCATTATGGCAATCCTTTGCAATGCTAGAATAGCGCAAATCACCGAGTAGCGGTGATAATTCTAATTGATGCTGGCATAGATTTAACTCAATGGTTTGGTAGACAATATTTGAAAGAAGAGATCAAGATTTAAATTTCGACGGCAATAGCGTGGGGATAATATCCAACGTAGGCAGATTCTTTGTGCGCACCGCCATTTAGTCTTGTCTACTGAGCCGTTGAGTCACTGTAATTTACATCCTCCCAAATGCTCTGTCAATTAGGGTGTGAGGGACTCTTGGGAGAGGAAGGTTATAATTCTAATGCATGAATAATATCGGTCAAAGA